GACATCCTGTACCTCAGATTGTAGAACCTTTGTCAGTGTCAGCCATGTGGATGAGTCACGGCCATTGCTTGGCCAATGTGCTCTCTGTGAAAGCCTGGGAGAATGTTTTCTCAGTGGAGAGGGTCTTAGGGTGTTAGCATCTTTAATTCTCACTACAAGGGCAGGAGGTGGGTGCTGTTAGTGTGCTCATGGATAATGAGAGAAAGACTCAGCTGTGGCTGTGGCTCAGTTGTAGAGTACTTGCATAGCATGTGTGAGGCCCTAGATTCCATCCCCAGGGCCACCGAAAGAAAAAAGGAAGATACCTTAAAAAGGCTCAAGGGGCCAGGGCTTAGCTCCGTGGCACAGCGCCTGCTTGGCAACACAGGGTCCTGAGTTCGATCCCTGGTACCAAAAAGAAGGAAAAGATATCACAATATTCACTGCTCAAAAGAAGCACTGGTGATAAAGCACCCTTAAAAAGGCTCAAGGCAGCCCTTCGTTTATTCAGACAGTGTTCCTTCAGGAGCTCGGAGGGCACAAAATCGTTCCTATGGTCTTGCAATGCATTTTCTGGCAATCAAGAGCACACTTATCGCATGTTTGATCTGGGCCTAGGTTCTAACCCTGCTCTTCCCAGAGCCCTTAGGGTTTGTGTTCTGAGACTGGACCTCTGTCTTGACCTTCATTGTGAAAACAAGTCATGGGAGAGAGGAGCTGATCGATCGTGCTTTGAAGACTACAAGGATTATAACAAGGAAACCTGGGCTTCTAAGGAAAGCAGAATGAATACCTACCTGCACTGTTGGCCAGCTCTCTGCAGTGAAGTGCTACATGTTAGGTGGCTGAAGAGAGTTTTATTGTCTCATGGTGCTGGAGGTAGGGTTTCAGCAGGGTTGGTTCCTTCTGAGGCCTGCAAGGCAGAATACAATCTTTGCTTCTTTTAACGTCTGGGTTTTGTCATCATTTTAAAGCTTTTGTAATGGTGCTGGAGATTGAATTTAGGGCCTTACACGTGCTAAGCAGTACTCCAGGCCACTGAGCTACACACCCAGTGCCTAATTTTGGTTTTGTTCTTGATAAAGTCTCCTTGTGTTGTTGAGGCTGGTCCCAAACCCCTGTGCTCAAGTAATCTTGCATCAGCTTCCTGAGTACTGGGATTGTAGGCATGTGCTACCTTGACTGGCTTCCCTCTTAGGTCATCAAGGCCACTGTAATGATATCATCTTTAATTGAGCACATCTATAAAAATCACATAGTTATCAAAAGTTAAGTATATTCTTTTTTTAAAAAAAATAATTTTATTGAGAAATAGCTATGAGATGGTTTCAAAACTGATTAGTAGGACAGTTTCAATAATTAATAAGTATATCCATTTGGGGGAACACAATTCAACTTATGAACACTTCTGGTAGTTTACATTTTTCCTTTTTTTAAAAAAGAAGATCCCCTTTCTTTTTTAACTATTATATTTATTTATTTGGTATGGGACCTTGCTATGTGACTGGCATGGCACACCTAGGGCTTCAGGGCCAGCAGGGCATGTGGTACTGGGCATCAAAGGCAGGTCCTTGTGCGTGCCAGGCAGGGGCTTAGATCACCAAGCTACCTCCCAGCCCACATTTTTCCTTTTCTTCAAGTTGAGGTATAGAAGAATTAAAAGATAGGTAGAAAGGAGTAAGGAAATCATAACTAAAAGTTATACTTTTTAAACTTATTTATTTGGTACCAGGTGACTGGCACATG